TTCTCACAAGCTGTTCTCTGACCCCCCACAAGTACACTGTGACATGTGCACACACTGAATAAATAGACAACTTAATAAGTAAGTATAAAATATATTTAAGCTACAATGTATTATAGCACTAAAAATGGGACAGAATAATAATCCTACCACAAATCAAAGTTTGAGCAGAGGTATTTCACTTCCAGGTAATCAGCTACCTAGAGAAACGCATCAGGTCTGTGGCAAGTTAATGCCATCCATGTTACCTGTTCTATCTGTGCCCTTCCTTCTTAGTCAGACTCTGGGCTAAACGTGGCTTGTAAGGTCAATGTGAAAGAAATAGTACTGTGACGATCTTACGTATTGGCTTCAAAAGGCTTCGCATGCTACTTGTCCCTTGTCTCCACGTAGACAAGGTCTGGCTAGGCCATTGGAGGAAGGGAAACGGCATAGAGGAAAATGCAACTGTCTTATCCTAGACCAAAACAGCCGACAGCCAGTGGATCCTCAAACATCTGAGAGACCCCGGCCAATTCACAACCAACCACAGGGAATGTGTCTAAAACAAAAGAATATCCCAGCTAATTTACAGGCTCATGTGTAATAAAGATGTGTAGAATTTAAGCTACAGAACTGGGGGAGAGGTATCTGTAAGCATTTCGGGCAGATCAGGATGGGTCAGGTATTCTGGCACTTGGGAGTCACAGATGGAAAGGTATCCTGGAGCTCAGGAGCCAAGGACCACCACAGGTTGTAGTAAGCTTAGCAGCTTACAGCCCTGCCTCAGGGAAAGGCTTCCCCAGTGTATGGGCTCTGCTGCGGCAGGACAGGGTCTCCAGCTGGAGATATTTGTCCAGTGCAGCAGTTTTGCTCGGCAGGAGGTTTCTCGGGCAAAGTTGCTACAGTTCAGCTCTGCTCCCGGAGAGCGGATACACTCCGCTCTGCCAAGGGAAGGTTTCCCCCAGCAAAAGTGTTACAGCCCTGCTCACTCTGCTCTGCCCAGAGGCCTCTGCTCCATCGCCAGGGCTGCTACAAAAGAAATCGAAGGGGTTTATTGGAAGGAAGCAGCTGGATCAGCCAAGCTGAATGTGCTGAATGTATACAGGATTCATATAGGGATTCTTGGGGGCGGGAAAGTTTTTCCAGTGTAGGGATTGGTCCAATTTCAGTGCTGAGCTCAGATTGGCTAGAGCTCTGCTCGAGGATTGGTTAATTTTCTACACAGGATTAGGGTCAGATTTGGCTCTGGCTTCAGGGCCAAAGTGTGTTTCTTTCTCTGGTCCTTTTAGCCCTTTGGCTCCAATTTTAGGGCCAGGGTGCATTTCTTTCACTGAGTCAGATTCCAGGGACAAAGTGTATTCCTTTGGCACTGGTTTCAGGGTCAGGGTACATTTCTTTGGTTCTGGTTTCAGGGCCAAAGTGTGTTTCTTTGGCTCTGCTCAGGGTTTGTTTCTTTGACTGGTCCCTTTTCCCTACAGTATCTATTACAAAGCCATAGCTAACTGATAAAAAACCCCCAAAACTAACACACCAGAATGACCCATGCCACAAAGATTGGCTAACTGGCTGTAGGTATAATATGGAAAAATATTGTCTGTAATACTGATTGTCTCTAATCAGTAGTCTGCAACATGTTGGTTCAAAAGTGTTAGCTTGTAAGAATTTAGGAGACATGACTTGCACTGACCATGCTTAGCCCAGGCCCTGCTGGTAGAAACTACCACTAAGCAGTCATATAGCCTTGTGATATGACTTGGGTATAAGATCTCTCCCATCTCCGACTCAGGTGTCTGAACAATTGGTCTCCAGCCCATGGCACTGTCTTGGGAGATTGTGAATCTTTTGGAGGAGGGGTCTGCCTGAGAAGTCAGTGCTATGGACCTTTTGAGTTGTAGTGTGACTCTGGTTCCAGCCCCAACTCTAGGGTTCCTGACTGATAATACGCTGTAACCACAGCCATGAGCAGCCCCTACCAACATTCCTTCCCTGCCATGGACTCTGCTTCCTTTCTGTTGTGACAAAATACTGAGACCAAAAGCAATTTAGGGAAGAATTGGTTTATTTTAGCCTACACTTCCACACTCACAGTCCATCATGGAGGAAGTCAGGTCAGGAACTCAAGGTAGGAACCTATCACAGAAGCCGTGGAGGAACAATGCTTGCTGGCTTGCTCCAGGGCTCATGTTTCTTTTCGTTCTTTCTTTGTTTTTTTTTTTCCTTTTTTGGAGGTAGGGAGGTGTTCAAGATAGGGTTTTTCTGTGTTGCTCTGGCTGTCCTGGAACCTGCCCTGGAGACCAGGCTGACAAACTCAGCGATCCTCCTGCCTCTCCCTGCCTCTGCTTGGATTAAAGGTGTGTACCACCACCTCCTGGCTACAACCTTGAGATGGTGCAGCTCACAGTGGGCTGGGCCCCCTGCATCAGTTAACAATCTAGACAATCCCTCCCCACAGACACGCCCACAGGTCAATAGCATTTAGGCTCTTTCTCAATCAAGGCTCTCCTCTCTGATGACTCTAGGCTGTGTCAATTTGACAAAGTTAACTAGGACAGACTGTAACCCCTGAGTCATGGACCAGAGTAAATACTTCCTCTTTGAAGTAGTTCCTATCTGGCATTTCATCAGAGCAATGGCAAAAGTAGCTGATAGGCCACAACCCTGGGCAAGGAGCAAACTGGGAGCCTTCGCAGCAGAGACACTTAACCAATACAACTCAAGGGTGAAGATTACCAACTGATAGCAAACTGCAAGTGTCCTTGTAGCCTTAGCCCTGACTGTCCCAGGAGACCCCAGTGCCAGCAGGCAGAGAGGAGCAACTGGAACCCCAACCCTCGGGATGGAAGAAAACCCATCAAGGAAATGTTTGGAAAGAGTTCAAGAAAGGCCACCTGGGGACACATCAAGGAATGTCTGGATAAAGGTCACTTCCGAATGGATTTTCACAGCCTTTCAGAATTGGTCGAAAATCCTATTAAGGACGAAAAAGGAAGCAAAGCAGAGGCATCGGGGTTGAAAAAATGAGTACACCACATTGGTGTGCTTCCTTAGACGAGGTAAGATGGCCTCTGACAGAACTTGGAAGTCCAGGGTCTGCCTGGTAAGTTCAATTAGTGTTACCATGTGGGGTGAACATGCCTCACTGATGCTTCACCGCCAATTCCCCTCTCTTAAAGCTACCAGCACTGTCTTTGCCTTGAAGGATGACAGCCAGCTCTTAGATTCCTTCAGTGGTTTGAGTCAGAGCCTGGCCACCCCTAAGTGCATGAGTTGAAAATAATAAGGTGGGGGAAGGGCTGGAAGGATGGATCAGTGGTTAAGAGTGCTGGCTGGGGCTGGAGAGATGGCTTAGTGGTTAAGAGCATTGACTGTTCTTCTAGAAGACCCGGGTTCAATTCCCAGCACCCACATGGCAGCTCACAGCTGTCTGTAACTCCAGTTCCAGGGGATCTGATACCTCATGCACATAAAATAAAGTTAAATAATTAAAAAAGTAGAGTGCTGGCTGCTCTTGCAGAGGGGGCCTGGGCTCTGTTCCTATCACCACCATGACAGCTCTCAACTGTCTGTAACCCCAGTTCCATCTGATACCTCTTCTGATCTCCACATGTACTGCATACACATAGTGCACATACATACATACATATACATAACACATACATACACACATGCATACACATAGTGCACATACATACACACATGCATACACATACTGCACATACATACACATATACATATACATGTACATGTGCACATACATACACAGTGCACATACATACACACATACATATACACACGCATATATATACATACACACATGCATACACATACTGCACATACATACACATATACATATACATGTACATGTGCACATACATACACACATACATATACACACACATATATATACATCCACACATGCATACACATAGTGCACATACATACACACATGCATACACATAGTGCACATACATACATACATGTACATATGCATATAATACATACACACATACATACACATAGTGCCCATACATACATACATACATATACATACACATATAATACATACATACATACTGCACATACATACATACATATAAATGCACACATATGCATACACATAGTGCACATTGGGAGGGGCCCTGTAGAGGGTTCAGAAGAAGCAGGAAGGTCAGACATTGTCAGACAACAACCTGAAAATATGACGTGGTACACAGAGAATTTCAGCTACCCATGGAAGGAGCAGAGAGACAGAGCTCTCCACCCCTCTCCTGGCCAGGAGTGGTGGACTTCATCCAACTCCCTTGTTGCCTAAATTCTGAGATCAGTAGTCTAGAGAGCCAGGCTCCATCCTTTCCAGCAAGCCATCACATTCTCCCAGACAATCTTATCTGTGAAACGGGAATAATCTTAATGAGGTCCATCTTACTTATGCCAAGAGAATGTGACCGTACATGTGAAAGAGTCACAGGCACTTTTTTATGCTGTGATGAGTTCTGGGAACACCACCCCTTGGTGCTGTAGATTCTTGGACAAAATTGCCCGCTCTCTCAACCTCAGTTTTTGTCCCCTGTAAAATGGTAACAGCAATAGTAATCCGCATTAGAGAGATGATTTGAGAATGTAATGAGACAGTACGGAAAGGCGCTTACCGCCGTACTAACTGACGTTACCTGTGAATGGCCTCATAGCTTCCTTCTTTGAATAGCCCAATGCTCCTAGGTTTTCTCTCGCACAAACGCCAGAGGGCGACATAGACGGAGGAACTCCAGCCACAAATTCTTGCCGCAGCATCATGAACCGCCACACAGTGGCGCTAAGGCACAGGCTGTTTTCAGCAGAGTTCGGGGTTCTGAGAATTAATTGAATGAGGGAAAGGGGAACACTAGGAACAAAGGAACTCTGAACCAAAGGGTCAGAGATTCTTAGCCCTGATAGCCCCTGGGCCTCTGGTACACAGTAGGATCAGTGGGGAATGAGTGGGTCCTGGCACTCTTTCTTCTGACTGTGTCTGCATCCCTTTGCTTCGCAGCCCTGTTACCTGATACGCGGAGGGAGCGCGCATCTCTGTGGGCTCCTCTGCTCGCTGAAGCTCATTCATCCGCTACCGCGGCACTCTGTTGCCATGGCAATGTGATGCAGACGGAGGAGGGAGGCTGGGAGGAGGGAGGCCCTGCGTGACGTCTGCACTCCTCGCAGCTCATCTCTCGCGGCCTCCCAGTTCTTGCCTATTTTGGAAGACAGCCGCAGCCCTTCTGCTGATGCGCGCGCGCTGGCGCCTTTTTAAGGCAACTGGCAGAGTGGCTGCTTCGCCAGAGCTCAGGAGCTGCCCCCGCCCCTGCGCGGCGGAGTCCTGGCCGGCCTTGGAAGCCCCCCGGAGCCATGCTCCACCCTATTTCCATCCTAACGTCCTCCACCTTTGTGGGGACACTTCAACCTTGGAGAGAGGAGGTCTTGCCCTTAACCCTTCGTCCCCTGCCCCCAAGAGGGGAGAGTGTCTTATAGAAACCTTGGAAGGAAACAAGATGCCAGGCCTATCCGTGCTTGGAGATCCTACGGACAAGGCCACAAGAGAGACAACGCCAGGTGAGGACCTCGCGGCCCTTGGGCCTCTTTTCAGCCCTCGATTAAGCCATTTATTCTTGGGGCTTAGTTTGAAGTAGAATTGGGATTCCAGGAAAACTCAGCCCTCTCACTGAACTGAAAGGGAAACCGAGGCACAGAGAAGGGTAATCATTGGCTAGAGTCACATGGCTAGGTCCTGGAGGAGCATAGACCCGAGCCTGGGGAGCCTGGCTTCCTGGCCCCGGGAAAGCCCCCTATTCCTTAATGCTGAAGACTACTGATAGGTTGTATTCCTCCTTCTCCCTTGCCCTGCACCCAGCCAAGGGTTAGGTAACTCCTCCTCCTACCAGCTGTCGTTTCTCCTCCAGCAACATCCAGATCTTAGGTGGGTTTTCTGGACCAATGGCCTTTCTGGACAAACTTCTGGATCCCATGGACTCCATGACGAGCTTGTTGCTTATAAATGCTGCTTCCATTGAAGGCTTCTTGCAGCTCACCAGCTCTCTGGAACATTCTGGAGTTAAACCTCTCCTAGACGGTCTGCAAGTGCCACTTGGTTTCTGGATGGAAATGTGGCCTGCTGGACACTGGCAGGCCTCCCCAGAGCCATGTGGACCCAGCCCCTTGGACCCTCTGCCAGTCCTGACGACACCTGACAGAGGACACAGCATGATGTACTTGGCCATTCTTGAGATGTGCGATTTCCAGACATCTGCAGGTCTCCATTCTGGACCAGAGTTGGGGATCCAGAGTGGATCTGATCTAGATCAGCATTTTTCCGTTCAGTTTGTAACACCTTTTCCTGGAGCCTTGGATGGCGCTTCCAAGGGGCACCCATTGCCAGGGTCAAGCCTTCAATGCACAAAGGGGGAAACTGAGGCAATCTTCAAAGAGACGTCATTTGCCAAGGTCACAAGGCAAAGCAGTATATTTGTTGCTGAGATTAGGACCCAGAACACTGCCTCCTCACCCCAGAGGCCAGCCTTTGAATGACACACAGGTCACGGCAAATACATATTTCCGGACCTACAGTCTCGAGCTGTGGCTGTGGCCCTTGGGTTCCTTCATTCTGCACTAGCCTTCAGTCACCCGAGAGAGATGACCTCAAATGAGCTCCCACTTCAGTTGGGCCTCTGAGACTCTCTGCAAGTGGGTGTCTGGGCTAGACTGTGGGTCCACCTATGGCTGCCTGGGGGACCATGCTGACAGGATTTTCTTCCCTCCACAAGACTGAATGACGTTAAGGAGTCTGCAGACATTAGTGACTTCAGGCTGTGCAGACCAGTCTCAGGATGAGCAGGGGTCTGTGTTGTGCATTTTGGACCCCATCAGACTCCTCCAATGGTGAGTCCCCTGATGAAGTAGGTACGAACCCGTAAGAACAGCCCTGCCTTGGTTGGATCTAATGAGGGAAAAAGCCAGTGAACTACTTGCTTGCCACTGAGCTACAGGCTTGGTGTTCAGGGATCCCAGGTGACTCTGCTCACCCAGAATTGGGAAGCATGGTCCCCTGGAGACTCCAAGCTCCCTCAGACCCTAACACTGGGCACATGGGCTCAGCCATGCCTGAAACTGGTTTTCAGCTTTGCTGTATTCAAATTCTAAAGCCAAGTGTGACCAGGATACAGAGACACTCACGAGGCTAGATAGGGGAGGATGGTCCTTTAAGGCCAAGTGTTCTAGTGCTCTTTCACTTTGCAAACAGGCAAGGGGAGGCCCGGAGAAAAGAGAAGAGAAGAGAAGGGAAGGGAAGGGGCTTGCCTGGTACCCCCTGTGGCAGCTAGGGCTAGAACCCACATCTCCTGATCCTTCTGCCTGGGACTCTTCCTCTGCCTTAAACACAATCTGCTGGCACTGGGGCTAAGCTCACTTCCTCTTCATCCCAGATCTCTGAATCCTTGGCAGAGGAATCCTCAGCCAGGGCTGGGCCATTCAGGAGCTTTCCCCTCACCAGATGGTCCTTTCCTCTGCAGCTTCCTGGTGTCCCCTTCCCACCCACACAGTGCTCATCCTTTCCTAGTTCCAGAAGCTTCTCCAGCGACAGGCCAGCACAGCTGCTTCTCTGTCTTAGCCAACTGTGGCTGCAGAATTTGCAGGGGTGGGGGTGTCCCCAGCTCTCTGCTCTTGGAGTGTCTTCTTTGTTGCTCTTGGGGTTTTCTTTCTACCTCTGGACCAGGCCTATTGATCATCTCTGAGCTTTAAATCCCTCTGTCTTTCCTGGCCCCTTTTGGGCTGCTTCCTGAAGATGCTTCTTCTGTATGCCCAGGGCCACTGGGAGTGATCAGCCCACAATCCCGTCTGCTCTGGGGGTTCTAATGAGCTGATCCCCTCGCCACATACATAAGGCATGGGTAGCTGCTGCACTGGTAAACTCTATGTCACTGGGGACACTCAGGTGCTATTACAGATGAGCATAAATCTGGGGTCCATGCTGCCCTGCAAACCTGGTTCACAGGGAGCACTGGGGTATGGAAAATAGGAGCCAGCATTTAAGCTGGGTAAGAACACGATCAGATTGGCTTCTAGAAATATGACCAAGGATTTCAATTGTTGACTCCTGAAGAATACATTGGTACTGGCCTAGATGCTGCATTCTGCTTTTGAGGGACGTATGGATGCCCATTGATACACAGGAAGGGGTCTGATTCCAAACCCCCAGGGTCACCTGGTGACTCCACTGATATCTTTATTCCTCTCTTTGAGATATTTCAGCCCCTACCCCAGCTGCCTCCACCTGGTACACACAGACCAAGAATGCAGGAAGCACACAGGACTATGAACCCAAGCGAGTCATTTCTGTTTAGTCTTATTGAAAATATACTTTCCTTAAGATAATAGCCGCTCCCATTCATATCCAACACTTACCCTGTTCCTTTCATGCCTATGAGTTTGTTCTGAGTGCTTTGATAAATCAGTTCACCTAGTTCTTCTTGTTTGTTTGTCTGTTTTTTTGTTTCGAGACAGGGTTTCTCTGTGTAACTTTGGCTATCCTAGAATTTGCTCTGTAGACCAGGCTGTCCTCCAACTTCATAGAGGTCTGCCTGCCTCTGCCTCACCTAGTTCTTTTTTTGTTTGTTTGTGTGTTTGTTTTTTGTTTTTTTTCCTCGAGACAGGTTTTTCTATGTAATGTTGGAGCCTGTCCTGGAATTCACTCTGTAGACTAGGCTGGCCTTGAACTCATAGAGATCCTCCTGCCTCTGCCTCCTGAGTGCTGGGACTAAAGGTGTGCACTACCACTGACTGACCCTCACCTAGTTCTTGCATCAAGGTCTTAACACAAAGTTTTATTATCCTTACATCTCAATTTAATACTGGAGCATGGAGTTGTATGTCCCTTAAATGACCATTGTCACTGTCTGTGACAGAGGCAAGACTCAGTCCCAACCTCCCTCCAGTCCCCACCCTCTTGCCTCCCGTGCCTTGCCTGTCTTCCAACCTCTACTTGAAGATCCTATCTGTTCAAACTCCTCTTTTCATGTGTCTAGTCATGTTTTTGTTTATTTTGTGTGTGTGTGTGTGTGTGGGTGGGCATGTGCCATGGTCTGCGTGGGAGGTCAGAGGACCTGGTGGAGTCAGTTCTCTCTTACTACCATGTCGGTAGTAGGGATTGAACTCAGGTTCTCAGGCATGGCAGCAGGCACCACTACCTGATGAGCCTTCTTGCTGGCCCTTCCATTCTAAATATGGCAAGCCACCCCTTTCAGCTTTCTCTTCACCAAGAAAAATACCCCCACTTTTTCCATCTTTTAGATTTTTTTTTACAAATACAGGGGGGGTACATTGCTCCAAGCTGGTGGTGGATAAAACAGGGGCTCCAGCAGAGGCCAGGAAAGACAGTGTCCAACTAACTCATCAACAGAACAAACTACAAAATTGTCACTGTCACCACTGGTGACAGAAACACCAGATGCCACGGAACCTATATCTAGAGACTTGACCTGATAAGGAAGACTTTCTGGAGTGATAGTTGAGCCAAGATATTGAGGAAAATGAGAAACAGAGCAGGGAGAGGCAAGGGGCTCGTATGTGCACAAGGGATGCAGAGAGCAGGGCTGAAGGGAGCAGGGATGCAGAGAGCAGGGATGCAGGGAGCAGGGATGCAGGGAGCAGGGTGGCAGAGCTGCCCATAGCTAAAAACGGGGGAAGGGAAGGCGGAAGCAGGGTCGAGGGTCACCAGAGCACAGCCCGGGAGGAGATCTGGGTTGCTCCTACAACTTCCTGGCAGCCCTGGTGATTAAAGGCTGAGCCTTGGTCACCTCATCTCAGGTCCATTCCCAGCACAGCTCCTGCTGCCATATCTGCTGGTTATAGAAGGGGAGGAGGGCAGCTTCCCCATGGCACTGCCTTGTGTCCACCTAATTAATGCACTTGTTATCTTCGACCCTCAGGACCCACCACACCTTACAAAGCCTCAGGACCATGCTCCACCCTACCCCACTCACCCAGCACAGCCAAGTTAGTCAGATGGCTTCTTGACTCCCAGCAACACAGCTCAAACACACCTTCCCAGGGAGCCCACTGTCCACTCCCTAGGCTTGGTCTTCCCTTATGTTTCAGCCCCGAGTACCCTGAGGCTTCTTTCATGACTGTCTCTCATTCAGATGACTTGCTGGCACAGTCTTCTTTGCAGCGTGGAGGTTCCATGATGTTAAAGCCAGGGTTATGTCTCCCTCACTTCCAGCATCCACCACAGAGGCTGGCAATTCATCCCTCAGGTGTGTGTAGTGAGCATCATGTCCACCCCCTTAGTCCCTGACTTCTGCTCAGTCATATGGTGAATGGTGACAATATGGTGGCAGGGGGTGGGCTAGTAGACAAGGAACAAGCATGACGATTAAGACTGACAAATGCAGTGAGAAAACAGGTGCACACTTGTAATTCTAGCATTTGGGAGGTAGAGACCGGAGGACCAGAAGTTCAAGGTCATCTTCTGCTATGTAATGAATCTGAGGTTAGGCTAGGATACCTGAGACCCTGTCAGGCACAGGTGGGGCTGTGGGGCGGAAGGGCTGTGCTAGTCACCACTAGACGATCATTGGGGCAGGGAAGAATTCACAAGTTGAGGAAGATCACAGACACGAATGTGTGGGGGTGTCTGCTCCCCCAGGCCTGCAGGTCTAGAGAGCAGGGTCATGCCCTCCACTTCTATCTCCGTGCCACTGAGGCAATAGAGTCCTTGGTCTGAATTTTTAAAGTGTGTCCCATGAATTGATTTCCTCCCTTCCTAGGAGCAGGCCCCTCTACCAGCCCTGTGCCCAAGCCTTGCCCAGACACCTTCATATCTCCCATCCAGGTTCTAGATCCCCCTCCCACCCACTCCATCCCTCCTTACCCCCCTCTGCCCAGCCCACTCCCCTGGCTCTGACCGTTTCCATGCGTGGGTGCCAGCATGTACCCTCTTCACATGAGATTTGTTGATTTCATAACCATAAGTAGATAAAACATTCTGAGTGCTTCCATGAGCAAGTAGGATTGAGGGGGTGATCTCACAGTGGAAAGGCCGGAGGAGAAGGGAGACAGCCCGTGGGGGTGCCACTGAAGCTCGAGGCTGCACAAGCCAGCACTACTTAAGGGCTGATTTTCCATTGCATAATTGTGCACCATAAACAAAGGACTGAGGACTGCCAGAGAACCTTCTGGAAAGCACTCATGGGATTGCAAGTCCTCCAATTCAAAAGAACAGTATAATAAGAAAAATCTAGACTTTAAAGAGAAAACAGAAAGAATGTGGAAGCCAAGAAACATGGATTTTAATTCTGAGTTCATTTCATTCTGGCTGTGTGACCCTGAGCAAGTTGCTCACCCTCTCTGGGAAGGTGTATATATATTCTTCCATTGAGCCAGAGACATCAGGAAGCCTGATAGCTCATAATATGTTCATTTTTGGTCTTCCTGATAGCAGCTTAGCCTCCAATAAGGGACAGCTAATCTTCCCAAAATGCAGTCCCAAAGAGACCAGGGATGGAATGAGAGAACCTGCCTCTTCATTGCCAGTTGGTACTCATGCTGTCATGGGAATGGGCTATGCAGAATCACTTCTTCATGGGAGAGACTATACATCCATGGTTACAAAAAGGGCTAGATATTAGTAAGGGCGTCCTAAGTTCTTCTCCCTTAGATGGGTAAAGGAAGCGGAAAGGGAGCTGAAGTGGCAGCTTGGTTTGTTCTGAGTCCAGAGAGCAACAGTGATATGGGGAGGGCTGGGGAAGGTTTTTCTTTGCCCTCTGCTCTAAGGATGGCAGGCCCTCCTTCAAGGGTCAGGTAGAAGTCATCGTGGCTTAGTGGTCTCTGTCCTCTTCTGCATTTACCTAACTCTGTGACTGTGTGAAGACGGCACCAGCCATAAGTAAACTAATGGGATTAAATCTGTCCCGGTAAAACTTCATTTGCAAAAAGAAGTGGTGGACCAGATTTTATTTGGGGTCATAGAATTTTGTTCAATGTGGCAAGAGAACAGTTTCAGTGTGTGTGTGGGGGGAGTTAAGCTTGTTCTCTTGCCTGCGCCTTGTTATGTGGCTTTAGGTCATTGTGCATTTCTGATCTTAATCTCACCAACTATATAATGAACATAATAATACCAATCATATTAGTCCTGAGAAAATGTCTAAGAGGGGCTGACAGGATGGCTAGGAAGGTTAAGGCATTGCTGGCAAACCTGATGACCTGGGTTTGGTCCTCTCCCAGGACCCATGTGGTAGGGTAAAAGAACTGGCCTCCACACATGCACACCATGACACATGCATGTCCCCGAATGATAAGTAAATGAAAAAGAAAGTATCTACAAGATCAGAGCGAGTCCCTCCATCCCCTCACCCCATCACTTTGAGTGGCGTTAAGTCTTCTACAGGGGTCACATCCTTGCTTGCTGAGGGTGATTAATAGCCTTCTAGGACAGAAATGCATCTTTCAATAGAGTCAGGTTCTTGGTCTGTCTTTCCAACCTGCAGTCCTCAGTGACCCCATTTCTGGTGCAAGCCAAGCACAGGAGAAAGCAAGGGTTCTCTCTTTTCCACCATCTACCCATTTGGCAGGGTGCTAGAGTTCACTCGAGGGAGCACCATGGCTGCAGTGGCCGGTGGCCAGGCTTTGCAGGAGGCCTTCGAGAGTCAGGCTGGTACTAGAGTCAGGAAGAATAGGCTTCTGTGTTCTCCTAGGCAGCCCTGGAGGCTCCATGAAGCAGTGGCAGCTGTGGTCCAGTGGGAACCCCATTTGTTGCATCGGAAATTTCACGTTGTCATCTTGTGCTCCTGATTTCTCATATGGTCTCTGAATGCCACATCCTTTAGCACCTTTCCATCTCTGAAGCCCTAGCAAGTGTTCATTCTTTCTTTCATTCTCTGGCTTCCTCCTTCCTCTCCCTCTCCTTCCCCTCATCTCCCCTTCCCTTCTTCACAGACATACTTGTGCAGACAAACACCACATGTGCACTGACAGTCCTCTGTCAACATCTTTGCTCCAATTTCTGAGAAAAAGCAGCCAGGGGTCTCCATGATATTCTGAAGAACCAAATTCTCCACCCACCTTCCAGCTCCACAGGAGGTCTTCCTCCTGGAAAATCTCTGAAAAAGATACATCACTTCTTCTCTAATAGGCATTGAGGGTGATGTCCCTCTAGAGCCCCAATAAAGCTATGCATGACAGGGGCAAGGGATCTCATGGCCTGTTCTTGCTGTAAAAAGGCCTTTTTCGGAAAAAAATAAAGAAAGGATTCAGCCAATCCCTTCTCGATGCCATCACCTCTTCTTGGTGATTTTTCGGGGAAGGAGTGGGTGGGTTTCCATGGCAACAGATGCGAGCTCTGCTCAGTAAAGAAGGGACCTTGATATTTTTTTCTCTCATTCTCTCAGTTATGTGTGTCTCTGTGTGTATGTGCGTGCTACACATGCCTGTGCCCACACCAGCAATTTTATTTAGAACGAAAGAAAGCCCTTCGCTCAGCTCCCCAAATATGGAGTGATAGAAACCACTTACTCCTGCAGGCCAGAGAAGATTCGGGATGGTTCTAGAGAAAGGGTTCCTACGAAGTTGTTTTTCTCCACTGCAGATACTGCATGCAGCAGAGAGGACTTTGAAAATTATTAGAGGCTTAGAGTTAGAAAGAAAGATGCTTGGCAGAGAAAGATGAGCAAAGGATAGATGATGTAAAAGCAAAAAAACAAAACAAAACAAATGGCATCACAGCAGGCAAGGGAAGGTGCACTGAGTCTCAGGAAGCATGCAATCAATACAAACCATCTAATGCTATGAGAAAAGGTCCAAGGCAGACTCAGGTATGGATACAGACACACAGAGATCTGTAAATAATATATGTAAGCACAGAATGCATAATTGCATATGACACAGGAAGGTAGAGACTTAGAAAAACACAGACAGATAAAAAACACACATGCACGTACTGGCAAATGTATAGACACACAAAGATGCAGACCCCAGCTACAAAACACATGGAAACAGATACACAGATGCAGAGAGACAAGTGTGTTCAGACATACAGGCTTGTATGAAGACACAGAACATGCAACACAGCTTCAGTCAAGTACACACACACACACACACATACACATGCACACACACACACACCTTCCCTTCAATTGCTCAAACATCCTATAGCAGGAGGGCAGAGCTGCAAATGCTGTATGCTCACCCAGTAAGTTTGGCTGGGAATCTCTTGTACACCCCCACCCATTCCTTCTGCACACACACACACACACACACACACACACACACAGACCCCCAAACCCCTCTCCCAACTCACTCCTTGCCCAATTTCCCATAACCAAAGGCTGTGATGCCTCCCCCATCTCAGACTTCCAATTCTGCTCTGCTGCTGCTGCTGCCTGCCGCTTGGGGGGGAGAGAGTGGGGTGACTCAGCCAGGCCAGGATGACTCACACTGACAGTATTTTTAGCAGCGGCCAGGAGCTCTCTAGCGTGCCAGCCGCCCCCCTCCTCCTGCCTGCTATTTCAGAACCGTCACTGGTGATATAAATAGCTCTTCTCCCACGGCCTGAAGCTGCTGCCAGGCTATTTTTGGTTCTGCATGGTTAAAAATAGTGTCATGGAGGTGGGAGGCAAGAGGAGTGGGAGCTGGCCTAGGGAGAGGAGACATTGGGGGCACACAGAGCTTCTCAACTTGAATCAGAGTAGGTAAACTAGGATGATCCCTCTTCTTCCCCCTCCCTTGTGCCTTTCTAGACCCTTCTTCCTTCCAAAGTCTCTTATCCCTAGTCTCTTCTCCTGGAAAAACCCGAGGATTCTTCCCTTGAGTTGAATTCTCTCCCCTAGTTTAACTATTTCCTGGATCCCAGGAGTCTTGACCCCACCCCGTAAATAGCCCACATATATTCTCAGGAGAGAGGATGGCAGCCACACCCTGCCACCCTCATCTACCCTGAGGCCCACCTCGACTTTGATGTTACAGGCAGGCCATGGACAATCTGATTGGCAAGGCAATATTCAGCACCACGGACAGTGGCCACCGTCCTGTGCTTTCACAGCAGAGGGGCTCAAACTGCCTGGAGAACCAACTGAACGCAGCAGAGAGACGCAACTTATTGCGAAGCAGATATCAAGAATGTCTCCTAACCAAGGCTTAAAGTATCTGTCTTTAAGGAAGACAGACAGGCTAGGGATGAGCTTCAGTAATAGAATGCTTGTCTAGCATGCCCAAAGTCCTGATCCTATTCTCAGCACTGGGAAACAAACAAATACACTGGTAACACAATGGTTTAAGTAGATGCTTTTTATCTCTACCAAATTGGTACAACACATCAGGATAGGGTCTCTACAACCATGTACCTCTCCCTTCTCTCCCGCCTCCGCCTTTGGCATCACTAGGGATTGAACTCAAGCCTTGAGCATGCTAGAAGTGTGCTCTACTACTAAGCCATACCCCCTTCCTGTATGCACCCTCTTCCAGCACCGCCTTCTCCTCACCCCACATTGCTTCTCTTGCTACCACCCCTTTCCATGAGGAATGGGGGTTTTCTTGACCATAAACTTTTCTCTGTGGTGTCAAAGTTCATCTCTACCTCTATGACTTTCCACAGCCAGGACTGTCCCTCTCTCCCGATTTTTTAAATGGTCTTGTTTTTTTCTGGCCCTAAAAGTGTGCTTACACATTCCTACTCTAAATGAAATTTCAGGAAAAAAGTTTCCATAGCCCATTGCTTTCTCCTTTTATGACGTAGTGGTATAAAAAAAGGGCACCCATTCCCTCTGTAGAGAGCAATCATATATACATTGACGAGAGAAAGGGGACATGTGATGCAAAGGCACCCTATGGCGATGAGCCAGACAAAGGTAGATAATTGAACCAAAGGGGCAATTTCCGGGGGTTTGGGGGTCCACAAAGCTGAGACAGACTGCCCAACATTCAGTGGAAGAAGAAGAAAGAAAGGAAACACACACACACACACACACACACACACACACACACACACACACACACGGTGGACAGTGAAAAGGCAGAATAAGGAGTCTTGGCGCTAAAAATGAGGAAGAAAACTGGAGGGAGATGGGAAGGGGAGCCTGGCAGAATTAAAGGGTCTTGGGTAGGTGCAGCAGTCACGGAGGGCGCAGCAGACCCTGACTTCTTGGCGGCCTCCCCTTTTCCCCGCCGAAGCGGTGGGGGGAGCTCTCCGGAGCAGTGCGGAGGCCGGTAGGCCCCGCCCGCCGCCGCCGCCGCAGCAGCCGCCGGAGGATTCCTGCCCTAATATGGAGCTGGGATTCCCCCAGCCCCGCCCCCGCCCCCAGCCCGCCGGAGACACTGGGGCTCGCTAGAGGGCGGGGGAACAGCTCGCCTAGGGGACTGACAAGCGGGAGAGGGTGCGGGGACACCCAAATGAAGACCCAGATCCTCACCAGGGTCTGGATCCTTGCCTCAGTTTCCCCCAAAGGTGGCTAAGGTTAAAATAGAAGAACGAAGAATCACTGCAGAGCACAGCGGTGATGTTTGTGTTCCTGTGCTGCCCGGAGTACAAGGCCGAATTCAGCTGGTCTCTTTCCCACTGGACCACCATTCCACGCTGTCCTAGATATTTAGATCCTCAGGCCAGGGCTTGAAGGGGAGGAAGGAATTATTTATTTGAAAGTGACTAAGAGATTTTCAGATTGAATAGACCCCAGAAAAGACCTCCAGTTGTGACCTACCCTCTCCCCCTAAAGCCAAGGAAAGTTCCTCTTGTGACTTTGACCTTTGCCTGGCATATAGAGTCAAATTCGCAGAAGGACCCTGCCCCTCTCTATCCTTTGCCTCCTTAGAAAATCAGTGTTGGTGTTAGCAAGGTCTTGACCTTCTACAACTCTCCTGCCAAGGGCTTCAGACCACCCTAACCCGTGCACTGTTCCTCCTTCCAGTAGAAAACAATGGGAAACCTGGGTCCCTGCATTCCATGCCTGGCTCTGCACAGCTCTCGCCAGCCGGCCCCCTCCGCAGCCTCCTTCTCCCCCTTCCCCCGCCCCCTCCCTCTCCTGTTCGACGTCACAAGATGACGTAGGAAGCCTAGGAGGGAGGAGGAGCGCCCCCCCCCTCCCCAGCCAGTGGCTCCCGCTGCAGCTTGCTTTAGCCCAGCCTCCCGCCTCCCGCTCCCCCCTCCGCTCTAAAACGAGCCCCCCACGCCTGCCAGGAGCTATATAAGGCGGATCGAGGCAGGCGAGGGGGGGCAGCGCTGCCGAGCGGAGCCCAGGAGTGGAGCGGGAGCGAGCGAGAGCCTGAGCGAAAGACCGGGAAGCAAGGAAGAGGAAGCCTCCTGTGCATCGGGACAGGATCGCAGGTGTTCGGGAGCCGGAGCCGGAGCTCCACAGCCGGCAATCATGTACCGATCCACCAAGGGCGCCTCCAAGGCGCGCCGCGACCAGATCAACGCTGAGATCCGGAACCTCAAGGAACTGCTGCCGTTGGCTGAAGCGGACAAGGTCCGGCTGTCCTACCTGCACATTATGAGTCTTGCCTGCATCTACACTCGCAAGGGTGTCTTCTTTGCTGGAGGTGAGCAAGCTTGGGCTGCCGGAGACTAGGTCTGATGGGGACTAGGGATGTAGGAGCTTAGGGAACGCGTTGAAACTGCCGCTTGTCTAGGACAGCGTGCTGGAAGACTGGAGAGAAGGGACTTGAGGGGACTCCGGACTTGGTACTTTTTCTCCTGAGCTCTGTCTAGACTAGCCTGAGTGATGGTCCTAGCACCAGATTTGTGGGAGATGGAAAGCTAAAACAGAACGGTCCAGGTTCCCAACGCCTCAGAGGCACTCCAGGAATCCGGGAAGTGGACGGAAGGAAGCCTGGCAAGCTGCAGGGAAACTCTGCAAAGGCAAAGTCCAGGAAAGAGCAGCATGTGCAGAGAAACGCTTAGAGGGACTTTCTATGCTCGCTGGGTGCTGTCCGAGGTTCTGAAATCATCTCTCTTATTTGCTGCTGTCCGCGGTGCTTAAAACAGCCACCTTTCTGCATGTGGTGCTGTCCGCGGTGCTGAACCCCAATCCCTTCGGGAGAGCTCTGTCCACGGTGCTGACAGTTCAGGTTTGCTGAGGTTCGCACAGGGATTGGAAGTCTGATGACTTCCTGGCGCGATAGTTTTAGCAACAGGTTTCGTGGCCACAATCCACAAGCACAGGGTCAACAGGTGTTTGCAGAGATAGGTCTGTGAGATTTCCCTGTGTCTTCTCTGAGGTTTAGACGATGCCCTTCTCATTTCTCTTACCCTGACTCATAACATCTTCTCACCCTACAGGCACTCCTCTGGCTGGCCCCACGGGTCTTCTCTCAGCTCAAGAGCTTGAAGATATCGTGGCAGCACTACCTGGATTTCTGCTTGTGTTCACAGCTGAAGGGAAGTTGCTATACCTGTCTGAGAGTGTGAGCGAGCATCTGGGCCACTCTATGGTGAGTACTGAAAGTCTTTGCATCTCAGGTCGTGGCAAATGTGGGGTAAAATGAGCTTGAGCTTTCCACTACTGAGAAACTGAGAGTTACTGGAGGTTTGTGTGTGGAGGCAGAACGCCTTGAGAAACGCTATTGGCCACAGATTGGCTCTTGCTGTCTTCACTAATGATCACTTTTCCTTTCATTCTTCTAGGTGGACCTGGTTGCCCAGGGTGACAGTATCTACGACATCATTGACCCTGCTGACCATCTCACTGTTCGCCAGCAGCTCACCATGCCCTCTGCTCTAGATGCTGGTAAGAGCTTTTTATCTGTTCTTCAGTCTACTCCTCTGCTCCTCTGCTCCAACCATCTACTTTTTCGATAGTGCCCACTCTTAGTCAGTTTTATCTTTTTGTTCACTAGATCGCCTTTTCCGTTGCCGATTCAACACCTCCAAGTCCCTCCGGCGCCAGAGTGCAGGAAACAAACTGGTGCTTATTCGAGGTCGATTCCATGCGCATCCACCTGGGGCCTACTGGGCAGGAAACCCCGTGTTCACAGCTTTCTGTGCCCCGCTGGAGCCAAGACCCCGCCCTGGCCCTGGCCCTGGCCCTGGTCCTGCTTCACTCTTCCTGGCCATGTTCCAGAGCCGGCATGCTAAGGACCTAGCCCTACTGGACATCTCTGAAAGGTAAGCCCAGAGTGTTCAAACTCCAGTAAGAAGGCAGGCCAGAAAGAAGGGTACCTTAGGTTCCTGACCCTATTAGATTCAGGACAGGGAGGATGGGGCTTAAGTGGGCAGAGAACCTGGGAGGGAGTGAAGTGCATGGGTCGAGTTAAGGAAAACAGAAAGCTGACCTCACCCTTTCCACCTTCCCAGTGTCCTAATCTACCTGGGCTTTGAGCGCAGCGAACTGCTCTGTAAGTCATGGTATGGACTGCTACACCCTGAGGACCTGGCCCACGCTTCTTCTCAACACTACCGCCTGTGTGAGTGTCCTGAGAGACTGTGGATAACACAGGAAGCTGGGAGAAGGCATGGGAAATAGATCAGGAATGGATTGTGGTCCACACTGATGTTAAGGAGACCCTGAGCCCAGCAGTTTCGGAGGCTATAGAGTCAACTTGGGGTGAGAAATCAAGGCAATAGAAGACAGGGCTAAGAAACACTAAGTGATAAGGTCAAGGTGGGGAATCTAGAGGTACAGGTTAGGTAGTCAGAAAATTCAAGACTCCTTAGTCTGGCCAGTGTGGAGGTGAGCAAGGTGGGTGTGTAGGTGGTGTTGCTTGATGGACTTGCTAACCCTGTACCTCTCTTTCTCCCCAGTGGCTGAAAGTGGAGATATTCATGCAGAAATGGTAGTGAGACTTCAAGCCAAGCATGGAGGCTGGGCGTGGATTTACTGCATGCTATACTCAGAAGGTCCAGAAGGCCCTATTACTGCCAATAACTACCCTATCAGGTAAGTTGTAAGACACAGAGTGGAGGAGAGGAGGAGGAGCTGAGCTCAGCATGGAGTGAATGCAACTCGGAAAACAACTCTGGTAAATGACAGCAAAGCCTTACAAGCCACTGCTTCTTCCCTCTCCAGTGACACAGAAGCCTGGAGCCTCCGCCAGCAGCTAAACTCTGAAGACACCCAAGCAGCCTACGTCCTAGGAACTCCAGCCATGCTACCCTCATTCCCTGAGAGTATCTTCTCCCAGGAGCAGTGTTCTAACCCACTCTTTATGCCAGCCTTAGGGCGTCCCAGAAGCACCAGCTTCCCCAGGGCACCTGAACTAGGTGTGATCTCAACACCAGAAGAGCTTCCCCAACCCTCCAAAGAACTGGACTTCAGTTACCTGCCATTCCCTTCTAGGCCTGAGCCTTCTCTCCAAGCAGACCTGAGCAAGGATTTGGTGTGTACTCCACCTTACACACCCCACCAGCCAGGAGGCTGTGCCTTCCTCTTCAGCCTCCATGAGCCATTCCAGACTCACTTGCCCACTCCATCCAGCTCTCTTCAAGAACAGCTGACACCAAGCACCGTGACTTTCTCTGATCAGTTGACACCCAGCAGTGCAACATTCCCAGACCCACTAACCAGTTCACTACAAGGACAGTTGACTGAAACCTCAGCCAGAAGCTATGAAGACCAACTGACTCCATGCACCTCTACCTTCCCAGACCAGCTGCTCCCCAGCACTGCCACATTCCCAGAACCTCTGGGTAGCCCCGCCCATGAGCAGCTGACTCCTCCCAGCACAGCCTTCCAAGCACACCTGAACAGTCCCAGCCAAACCTTCCCAGAGCAACTGAGCCCCAATCCTACCAAGACTTACTTTGCCCAGGAGGGATGCAGTTTTCTCTATGAGAAGTTGCCCCCAAGTCCTAGCAGCCCTGGTAATGGGGACTGCACACTCCTGGCCCTAGCTCAGCTCCGGGGCCCTCTCTCTGTGGATGTTCCCCTGGTGCCTGAAGGCCTGCTCACACCTGAGGCCTCTCCGGTCAAGCAAAGTTTCTTCCAATACTCCGAGAAAGAGCAAAATGAGATAGATCGTCTCATCCAGCAGATCAGCCAGTTGGCTCAGGGCATGGACAGGCCCTTTTCAGCTGAGGCTGGCACCGGGGGACTGGAGCCACTTGGAGGGCTTGAGCCCCTGAACCCCAACTTGTCCCTATCAGGGGCTGGACCCCCTGTGCTTAGCCTGGATCTGAAGCCCTGGAAATGCCAGGAGCTGGACTTCCTGGTTGACCCTGATTCTTTATTCCTGGAAGAGACGCCAGTGGAAGACATCTTCATGGATCTCTCTACTCCAGACCCCAATGGGGAATGGGGGTCAGGGGATCCTGAGACAGAGGTCCCAGGAGGGGCCCTGTCACCTTGCAACAACCTGTCCCCAGAAGATCACAGCTTCCTGGAGGACTTGGCCACCTATGAAACCGCCTTTGAGACAGGTGTCTCAACATTCCCCTACGAAGGGTTTGCTGATGAGTTGCATCAACTCCAGAGCCGAGTTCAAGACAGCTTCCATGAAGGTGAGTCCAGCCTCAGTCTCCCCGAACTCCAGTCCCTGTCCTGTTCCAATCAGATATTGGGAAGATTGGGTGAATTAGTTCCACTCTCTGGGCCTCAGTTTTTTTAAGTGAACAATATCGTCTACCACTACGGAAGGTAGTGAGGCTAAGAACAATGCAAAACTTTGTGTGCTAGATTAGTAGACCTGGTGGGCAGGGGAGGTGATATGGGATAAAGTGATGGTCAATCCTTAGGCAAAAGCTTGAAAGTTCATGAGGGACCTAGACCTGTCACCATCTCCATTTTATAGACAAAAATAATCAAGGCCCCAGAGTTAAAGAAATTTTGCTTAAGTCATACAAAAATCGATGAGTTGATGCTCGCCCCTAAAGGGGTGCAGACCTACAGTTGGTAGAAGTTGGAGAAAGAAAGGACGGTGCTGAGCCCCTCGCTGCATCCCAGTGGCCCTGTGCTGTCCAAAGCTGCAGCCACCGCTCCCTGTCATTTGTCCAAATTGCCCCTTATCTATCGACTCTCTGGGGCTCCTTCCTCACTTGGCCAGCGTCTTTGAAGCCCATATTATATATTGGCGTTGTGCCATAGCCTGAGCCCAAGGACTTTTTCCTAATAAGTTTGACTGATCTCTCTCTCTCTCTCTCTCTCTCCCTCCCTCCCTCCCTCCCTCCCTCCCTCCCTCCCTCCCTTCCCCTCTCCCTTTCTCCCTCTTCCTCTCCTACAGATGGAAGTGGAGGGGAACCAACGTTTTGAATAAGTCTGTGACTTAACGTCGTCAAGTATGGCATATTGTCATCAAGACGTGGAGCCGCTCTCCACCCCCCCGGGACTGTTGGGGGGATTCTGGGGGCCAGAGGGGGATATATCTGATTCTCCAGGCCCCGAAGGATTTAGGGGGGAGGTGGGAGGGCAAGGGAGGGGAGCAACTTTTTAAAATCAAGGGACTTCGAGCGATCCCAGTTTCCATTTCAATCTGTATTCACTCGTAGTGAGCTTCCTTGAATGGATTTCAAGCGGAGAATGGGGGAGTCTCACTTCCCCACCGCGCTGCCCCATGGGCTTGGGCCAGTTCTCCATTCCTAGGGACCCCTGGGTTTTGTTGGAGGAAAGGCATGGCCCATCTGGGGCTAGCCTGTGCCCTGAGGGGCTCTTGACACCCACGTAGAATTCTCTACAAAGCAGTAACGGGATTTCAATTCCGATGGACTCTGCCGCCCCGGCGGCCCTTCCTGTGACTTTTGCGCCCCGCGCCTGGGGTGGGGGGCGCGAACAGATGCTACATTCCTTTCCGATGGAGGAAGGCAGATCTGCCGTCACACGTGTGCTTGCACGAGTGCGTGTACCTGGTGCGGGACTCACCCGGCCGCCAGACTGCCTGGGCTTGCCCAGGTGGCCACCTCGTGGTGCTGCGGTGACTTTGTAGCCAACTTTATAATAAAGTCCAGTTTGCCTTTTTGGTACCTCTGGTGTCCTGCACTACTGTGAAAAGGGAAGGGTGGGGAGGAGAGAACACGAGGAGCACAGACAGGAGCCTTGAGGCGGGAGACACAAGCTGACCCTCCTGTCAGTTCTGGCATCTCTTCGTGAACTTGTTCATTTCTCCACTGAATCTGAACCTTCAGTATGTGGCCCACACTGTGCTAGAAGGCGGAGCATTTGTCTGAAGCAGAGGCTTCATTGAGGACGCTGGAAGTTCTCTGTGCCCTGGGTTTACACAGTGGTCACAGTGTTATGGAGAGCAGAGCGTCTGAGGATAGACAAGAGGCCTCAGCTTAGCATTGGTTCTGGATATGGGTTCTGGTCTTTTCCTGTCTGCTCTTGCAGGATACTGATTTCCTTGTGGAGCCTTAGATCTTACATTGGAATCTGTAACCCGTTATCATTACATAGGACTTTTCAATGAGCAAATATCTAAATCACTGCAATAAAGTTCCATTTCACTGATAAACTAGCTAAATTTATGGGCGTTTCCCCCACAGGTAGTTAGAGGTGCAGGTGAGTAAAATCCACCCCACCCCAAGTCTTGGCTGTACTGTCAGCTCCAAAAGCCAGCGAATCACTAGAGACTCCCTAAGAATGGCAGTGTTTGTTGGAGCAGGGGCCCCAGTAATCCACTCATTTGACCCCTCCAAGTCTGCAGAGTAGAGCAGAGTTGTGGCAAATCAGTGGAGGAGAAAATTTCAAATTATGGTTTTTTTTTTTACTCCAAACTCAAAGGCTCCATAGCCACAGGGTATGGATAGTGGTGGGCAAATGAAAATTAGGAAGCAGAAAGACCTGAATTCATATCACACTCCAACCACTTATTTTTGCAGTGGGCCTAAAGCTTCCACTTCCTCACAGGTAAAGTGAGGGCAGTGACAATGCAGCAACCAAAAGACACTGTTAGGATGGTACAAATGTCTCTTCCAACTGAAGAAGTGCAGAAAACTCCAGATGGTAGTGGCACACACTGTTAAAAGAAGCTTTTCCTTGCTAGCCGCTTTGGTTTATCCCCCGCCAGCCGCCTGGGCTCTGCTGCATTGTAGTCCCCAAATAAACACACAGGACGCTGTATTAATTATGAAGCTGTTGGCCTTTGCTTGTTTCTTACTGGCTAGCTCTGACTTAAGTAATTACCCCATGATTGTTAATCTAAGTATGTCTCTTACCGGAGAATAGTTCCGGGCTCCTACCCCATGGCGTTACATGTTGACTCCTCGTGTTTCTCCTTCCCAGAGTCCTCCTGGACTCCTAGTCCCACCTATCTAGATTCCTATTGGCTAACAGTGCTTTATTAACAAATGTACAGGACTTCCCCCATCAACACACCTTTAATCCCAGCCCTCAGGAGGCAGAGGCAGGCAAACTCTGTGACTTGGAGGCCAGCCTGTGATGGGGCATGTCCTTCTGTATGCTGTGAATATATGTTTCTCTTATCAGTTGATGAATAAAGCTATTTAGGAAAATAGACAAGCAAGATTTAGCTATGTGGGAAATTCAAACAGGGATAAAGAAAGGTGGAGTCAGGGAGACACCATGTAGCTACAGGGAAGATAGGATGCCCAAGGATTCTCTGGTAAGCCAAGACTACATGGAGATACATAGATTAAGAGAAATGGGTTAATAATTGAGAGAGAGCTAGCCAATAAGAAGCTTAAGCCATACAGCTTATAATTAATATAAGACGCTGTGTGATTTTTTTGGGGGACTAAATGGCTACAAGACCAGGTGAGACAGAAACTTCTATCTACAAACCTGGTCTATGAAGAGAGTTCCAGGACAGCCAAGGCTACACAGAGAAACCCTGTCTCAAAAAAAGTGAAGAAGAAAACTCAAGTTTTTATTTTTTTAGATATTTTTATTTTTAAATTTAAATTTAAATTAGAAACAAGGCTGCTTCACATGTCAATTCCAGGTCCCTCTCCATTTCCCTCCCCTCCTCCTGTGCCCTCCACTCAAGTTGTTTTGACCTACAAGGTAGTGGTGACCTAGAGACTTACAGAACCTCTTCTTCAAGGAAGAGATAACAACTCCAGGCTTCAATCTTTCTACAGAAACACAGAAGCACAACCCTGAAAACTGTCCTGGACTCCTCTCATTCCAAAGTTCAGCTATAGAGCCATGCCCTTCTAAAGGTCCTTCCTCACAGAAAGGAAGGTATTCACAGGGCCCTGACATCCTTTGGAAGGTATTCACAGGGCCCTGACATCCTTTCCCTCCTTTGATGGGTGTTTGGTGGAACCAAGAGCTGCACTGTCAACCCCAAGAGGACCCTGCCTTAGCTCCATTCCCTCCTCAGCACAGGGACAGCGAGGTGTCAAGATAGATAAAGGTGTTTGTGCAAGAATGATGATCTGCATTTAACCCTTGATGGAAGGAGACAGACCACCCCTGGAAGTTGTTCTCAGATTCCTAATGCACTCCAGGACACACTCAGGGCTGTGTGTATACACACACATAACACACACACACTGTACACACTACACACCACACACACGCTGTACATACACACCACACTACACGCACACTGCACACATGCTTCATACATACTACACACACATGCACACAACATATATTACTACAACCAATAACTAAAAATGTAAGAAATAGGGGTGGATTTAGGAAACTTCTGTGATAAAAAAGAAATACTTCCCTGATATTTGGCAGCTGGTAACAATAGTGTATATTTTGTTGTATATTTTTTCTTTTTGTTTCTTTTTCAAGATAGTGTTTCTCTGTAGCTTTGGAGACTTTCCTGGAACTTTCTCTATAGATCAGAGTAGCCTGCTCACAGAAATCTGTCTGCTTCTGCTTCCTAAGTACTGGTATTAAATGTGTGCCAATACCACCTGGCTTTGTTGTGTATTTCTTGTTTATTTTGCCTTTGAGATCTTTGTTTGTTTGTTGTAACAGAAACTGGCTATATAGACCTGCTATATAGACCAGACTGTCCTTAAACTCATAACAATCTACTTAGCTCTGCCTCTGGAGCACTGAATTGTCTTTTTTTTTTTAATAAAATGACAGATACTTACTGTAATTACATTATGCCCTACTTCCCGGTGCCCCTTGTCTTTTGATTGTTTGTTTGTTTTTCAAGACAGGGGTTCTCTTTATAGCCCTGGCTGTCCTAGAACTTGCTCTGTAGACCAGGCTAGCCTCAAGATCCCCCAGCCTCTCCCCGCCCCGAGTGCTGGGATTAAAGGTGTGTGCCACCACAGTCAGCTTCCTCTTCTTCTTCTTCTCCTTCTCCTTCTCCTTCTCCTTCTCCTTCTCCTTCTCCTTCTCCTTCTCCTTCTCCTTCTCCTTCTCCTTCTCCTTCTCCTTCTCCTTCTCCTTCTCCTTCTTCTTCTTCTTCTTCTTCTTCTTCTTCTTCTTCTTCTTCTTCTTCTCCTCCTCCTCCTCCTTCTCCTCCTTCTCCTTCTCCTTCTTCTTTGAGACAGTCTAGGCCAACCTGGAGTTTACTGTGTAGTACCCAAGTTGGCCTCAGACTTTTGCAGATCCCCCTACCTCAGCCTCCCAGGTGCTAGGATTACAGACCAGTCAACATCCACTGATAATCCACCCTGAGGTTCACCCAGACCACCTGGTCCTGAGGTAAGGAAAATAAGATAGAAGAGCAATGCTGCCACCTGCTGGAAGAAGTAGCTGCTCCATTCCTGGCTGGTGATGCCCCTGTGGCTGAGTATCATCACCTTAGAACAGATAGACAAACTGAACCCTCTGGGCTGGGGGACTTCAGAATCTGCGAGTGACAAGAGAGGGTGTCTTAGTTACTGTTCTATTGCTGTGAAGAGACATCATGACCAAGGCAAATTATAAAATATTTAGTTGGGGACTAGCTTAGAGTTTCAGGAGGTTAGTCCATGGCTATCAGGGCTTAAAGAGTGGCAGCAGGCAAACAGGCATGGCACTGGAGAAGTAGCTGAGAGCTTATACCTGATCCACAAGATAGAGGCAGAGAGAAATCTCAAAACAAAGCCCATGCCCAGTGTCTTAGTTAGGGTTCCTACCGCTGTGAAGACACATGACCACAGCAATTTGTGTAAAGGGAAACATTTAATTGGGTGGCTTACATTGTCATCATGGTGAGAAACATGGTGGCATGCAGGCAGGCCTGGTGCTGGAGACAGAGCTGAGTCATACATCTTGACTTGAAGGCAACAGGAAGTGGTCTGAAACACTGGTATGGCTTGAGCATATATGAGACCTCGAAGCCTGCCTCAGCAGTGACACACTTCCTCCAACAAGGCCATATCCATGAACGTATGGGCCAATTGCATTCAAACTATCACATTCCATTCCCTGGCCTCCATAAGTTTGTAACAATACCATAATGCAAAATGCATTAGTTCAACTTTATAAGTCCCTATAGTCTATCATAGTCTCAACAATGTTTAAAAGTCAAAGTTAAAAGTCTCTTCTGAGATTAACGCAATCTCTTAGCAGTAATCACCTATAAAATCAAAAGAAAAAGAAAAACAGATCACATACTTCCTGCATCGCGTGGCTCTGGCATCTCCAGTGTCTTGGGATCTCCAAGACAGTACAGGCTCACCTTCACAGCTTCATGCAATGACCTCCATTCATGCCTGGTCTCAGTGGCTTTCTTAGTCTCAGAGGCAAATTCCATAGCTCCTTTCTTCTTAACTCCAGAGCCATGTAGCCAAAACCGCCAAGTTCCGCTGTTTACTGGGGCTGAAACATGGCTCCCTCATTCAATTACATCTTCACCAACTTTCTGTTTTCTATTGTTTTCTCACTACCTAAGGTTGGCTGTCCTGAAACTGAATCTGTAGTCCAGGTTGTCCTTGAACTCAGAGATCTTTCAACTACAAATTCACCAGCTTTCTGTTTCAGTGGCTAACTTCACTGCCTAAGCCTGGCTGTTCTGGAACTTGCTCTGTAGACCAGGCTGCTTTTAAAGTAAGAGATCTGCCTGCCTCTCCCTTCTGAGTGCTGTTTTTAAAGTCATGCA